CTCCTTTTCAGAAAGAAAACGATTGTGTTTAACACAAACCGCGTAACTGTTGTTAACTCCCATTTCGACACAAATAGAGTCCTTTAGGAGGAGGACTTCGATCCTGCCCGATACACTCAAGTCCGGGTCTTCTGCGTCTAACCTGTAAGTATCAGTGAGCAGAAACTTATCCTAGGTAAAAGTACAGGCTAATTCATGCTCATGTTAGTCTTAAATGAATGTTATGGAAATGTATTTTAGTTTGAATGACCCATAAGACCATGCGGTCGTTCAGACTGTCTTTGAAAATCCAGAACAACTAGTATGAAGCACAGCATACCGGCGCCTGTGGTAAAGATGTTAAGAGTTTTACTGTTGCACTCAGAAGACCCTCATTTTTATTAAGTGTCTCGGTCTTTCTGCTGGGATGTTGTATCCCTCTAAACCTGTACCAAACTAATAAATCGGCGCTCCATTTCATAGTTCCTCTTCTTCATAAGACTACCTTTTCAGCCAGGCTTCAGCCCATACAAATAAAATATGAGTACCATGTGGAAAAAATATACAAAAATATAGTTAAATTTATTGTTAGCGACAGGATTGTTTATTTATTTGTTTGTTTGTTTGTTTGTTAGAGTAAAAAGAAACACATTGACTCTGTAATGGTCATTTCGTGCTGAGAAAACGTAAGAAACAGAAACAACAGAGGGAACATGAAGAAGAAGGACCTAGCCGTGACAACTTCCAGCTACCCGCAAACAAATACGTCTTTCCAAAGGTGCTGAGAGTGACACAATTCACTACCCAATATAAAAGTCTACACCATTGTAAATGTCCACTGTATACCATATGTGAGGCAGCGTGGTGGAATTAGGCTCTCGTCATAATAATCAAAGTGAAGAAACTTGCATTTTTCCGCTTTTTATCAAATTTTTGTTTTTTGGCTCAACACCTTTTATGCCCATTAAAGAGCTCATTTCTGTGTGGATTTTTCTGAAAAGCTTTGAGTAAAGGCACAAAAAAGTAAATTTTCAGTCACACCAGATTCTTAAGCTAAGGAAATAACTAATCTTTGGCAGCCATTTTCTCACTAATTTTACCTCTGAAAACAAGTGACCCCCCACCTCTTCATTCGCAAATATCTCGCCTTGTATTCAAGATAAATAGATATTTTTAAAATTCAAATAAAGACAAGTGAACAAGCTTTAAGATGATACCAATAACTCTTCATGCCCCAAAATTGATGAGAGCCTGATTCCACCACGCTGCCTCACATATCATTCTGGGTGTATGCCCTTTACAGACGTTCAACAAACCAGCGGTTGTTCCTCCCATTAAGATGACTCACGCTTCCGGAGAGTCTCTTCCCCCCCCCCTTTTCCCTAACCCCCCACCCCCGCCTTTCCTTTGCGCAGTTTGACCACTTGTGAGTAATGGCCTGGTGGCTTGGGAGAGCCGACTATGAGCTTAAATTCACCGGAAACTGTGCCTCCACACGTCCGGCTCGCGTTTGCTTGTTTGTGGGCTGGAGAAGAGACCTCGATTTCAACACAAGCAGCGAGTGAGCGTCGTGTACTGGAATGGTCAACACTAATCATGGTAACAATAACAACAATGATTACAATGCGAATCAATAGAGCATTTCATCTCCTAAAACGGAAGGCTCTATGGGATTTTATTCTAAGTAATAACAATAATAATGAAAATAATGCGGATTTATCTAGCATTCAATCCCTAGAAGGCTTTAAGCTACTTGGTTCATGGTGGTAATATTAATGTGAATCTTATATTTAGTGCATAGTTTCAGGAAGCAAGATCTTAGCGCTCTAATTTTGACTTCTAAGTCTTTTCTGAGGCAAGAGAAAAAACAAGTCTTATCCCGTCCCTCTTTACCCACTAGCATGTAGAATCTGACCGAAAGAGCCAAAACCTCAGTACAGACAAGAACAATTGCTGTGGACACAGTTGAAGTAATTGACCGTCCTTTTTGCACTAAGACTGGAGTTCGCATCTGTGGACTATGTTGTACTATATGGTTATTTGTATAAGGAGATTCTTGATGCTGTTAAATTTTCTTTCGTGTCCATTCCGCCTGAAGTCTGTACGTGGGCTATACCAAAGAGAGGGATAGAAAGGTGAGAGTGAGTATGTGTGTTTGAGGTAGGGGGGGGGGGGGTACAACATCTCACTAAAACTGAGACCCTCAAACGCGAATACAGCAATAAATGTCCATACTTTGCCTTATTTGAGTCATCTTACATCACATGATCGATAGAGTAAATACGGACTTTTTTTCTCGTGTAAACAGACCCAGACAAAGAACAAATTCATGCAACCCTGCCATGGGAGAGTTTGAAAAAAGCGACCGAACTTGCCTAGAGACAGGTACCAAAAGTCGCTCCAGACCATTTCGAGCTACAAGGTGATAACAAAAAAAATCACTTTTTGGACCAAAATGTGTTTCCTTTAGAACATGACAGATCCACCATTTTTTCACAATGTGCTCACAGGGTTTTCATTG